AATGAATTTCCTGGATTTTATTCAACACAGCCTTTGAGATTTGCAAAAGTTCATCACTGCTATTCAAGTTCAGTGAAAATTCAACTTTCAAATGGACATTTGAAAGGGAAGAAAAACCTCATCCCACGCCAAATCACAATACAGGAATAATACTGTCCTTCCTTCCTTACAAAGTTGTTGCACAGAGATCAGAATTGTGAAGCTCTTTGAACATTTGCTAAATAAATGTGTTATATTGTTGTTGTTAGTATTAGTAGTGAGTATTATAGTCTATTCCATCCATAATTTTCATGTTTATTTTTTTATATACTACACCGTGTATTTCTTATTTAAATGTTCTATCCCACTTATTAACATAATATGTAAAATAGGCATCTCAACATAGGTAAAGCAAGCTATTTGTATGTTTTGCAGAAAGAAGTTCAGTAAGGTCCAGAATGTGTCGCTCCCAGAAGGTATAAAACAGCAGTTTGAACATCTGCATACCACTCATCAGATGCACCTTCATCTTTTCAAAAAAGAAAAACCTTTCTTTTTTAATCTTCCATGTTTGAAAATACCAATAGCAAGGAAACAGCCTTTGAACTAAATGATGTTGAAGAACATAGAAGTTAGTTCCAAGGAAATATCTTTACGACTAGTATGTAACATTTTTTTAAAGGTCAATGAAACATTATGTATATCTAAGCTAAAAAGATTAGCGGGCTTCAAGGATAAGGTACACGAATGCTCTAATTTCAAATATCAGCTAGCATCCTAAAATGGCCTTCTTCAAAAAATATGGAGTTAGAACAAGGTTCCTCTTCCAAGGAAATAATGTATCTGCAGGATTCTTAGGAGGCCTTTAATTCATTCATGGTCATTTATATGATTTGGAAGCTTTTCCACTGAATCCCTTCTAATTAAGGTTTCTGGTGATCAAAATATAAAAATATGAAACCATGTTTAAATTAGTCTGTTTTGTTTTGTTTGTAAGGGCATATAGCTTCCATGTACATACTCAAGTGAGTATGTGATTAAAAACTTTTTCTGGACTATACAACATCAGGATACAGGTACAAAAAAACCCTATCACATAGTGACCTTTTGTGTGGCATCCTCTTCTGGAATGTGGATGGACAGTTCTTTTTTATTCTTGCTTTTCAAATCATTCCTAAGGCAGAAAATTCAAAGATGCAGTTTTTCTTTGCATACAGCCTGTTGCCTGTTCATTGCAGTCATAAATCGATAAAATTCTACCTAGCCCTGAAGTGATCCAGTTCAGGAAAAAAAATAATTTGATCCACTTGAATGTTTGAGGCAAGCTTTCAGTTATCTGAATACAGAAAATAGAAGAAGGGAAGAAGGGGGAGGGGGAGAGGGGAGGGGGAGAGGGGAGAGGGAAAGGGAGAGATTTAAGGAAGTTTGAATCCATTTAGCATGTTCCAGATCAAGATGTAAATGTTACATCTAAATTGAGTGAGATTCCCTCCTGCCTACTTGGACATGCTTTTAAGCTTGCCTCAAATCTCTGGGTGCTGGAAAGAAGTTTTTCCTGTATTTGGTGGGCCTTCAACTGGCTGCTTTTGAAACTGAAGGACTTTTAGTAAAAGTTGGCTTTTTTGCTATTAAACTCCCTCCTGAGACTGGAAAATGTAGATTCTACATCCAGCTAGTAAGAGTGTGTTGTAACAATAAATTTTCGCGAAGTTGTTAAGTAAGTGGGATGGATTGTTTATGGATTTCTAAAAGCTTATTCTGAATAAGAGAAGAGGTCAATCAGAACAAGGCCACCATAGGTATTGAGGGCATCTCAGAAATAAGATCTGAGAGGATTTGCTCCCAATTTAACTCAGAGAATTCTGCATGAAGAAACTGAAAAAGAGTCTAAATCGGTGATTCTGTCCAATGGTAAACTCCACAGCCACTTGTTGTTGTTGTTGTTGTTGTTGTTGTTGTTGTTGTTAGTTGTGTCCGACCCATCTCGACCCCATGGACAACTTCCTCCAAGGCTTCCTGTCCTCTACCATCCTCTGGAGTCCATTTAAGCTCATGCCTACTGCTTCAGTGAGTCCATCCAGCCACCTCATTTTCTGCCCTCCCATTCTTCTTTTGCCCTCAATCTTTCCCAGCATTAGTCTCTTCTCCACTGAGTCCTTCCTTCTCATTAGGTGGCCGAAGTATTTGAGTTTCATCTTTAGGATCTGTCCTTCTAAAGAGCAGTCAGGGTTGATCTCCTCTAGGACTGACTTGTTTGTTCGCCTTGCAGTCCAAGGGACTCCAGGAGTCTTCTCCAGCACCATAGTTCAAAGGCCTCAATTCTTTGGTGCTCAGCCTTTTGTACTTTTGTACAGCCACTTGTACTTCTATGCAAAGAGGGCTAGGCCTGTGCTGCAAGTCCTTGGGCTTTGCCTAGGAACAACTTCCACTGAACTCTGGGGGTCTCCCTTCAAAGAAAAGTTCAGAAAGCCTCTTGGAGGCTACTGATAGTGGGCCACCCTTCTGCTCCGTTTAGCCTCTGAGAGGCACGACCGACAGTTAGCACCTCTCGCCACTTAGGCTCCCGTGGCACCCGTCTGACACGGGCGCGGGTGAAAAATGGCTTTGGACCTTTGAACGGGCTGCAGCATTTAGGGGTCGAATCGTCGGGAGTCCGGAGGCCAAGGCAAGCTCACCAGTTTCGGGACAAGCGTGCTGGCGATAATGGCCGCCCATTCACCTCAAGGGTTCCTGAGGTGAAGAGCTACTGCCCCGCCGGAGCAATGAGCGCGTACGTCCCTCGTAAGCACCGTGGGGGGGGGGGGCGTGTGTTGGGTGTTTGTGTGTTTATCCCGGCTTTCTTTAGCAACGCCCGTTTCGAACCCGCGCTGGCAACAGCCGCCAACCAAAGTTAGGAGCGGCGGCGAGGGCGGGCAGCAGCAGCAAAGCGCGGCGGCGGCGGCAGCAGCGGCAGCAGCAGAGCCGCCAGCGAGGGAAAGTGTTAATCAGGAGGTGCGGAGGTGGGGAGAGAGGCGCGCGCCGAGCGCAGCTATTCACTCGAACGTCACTCCGGTTACAGGGGGTTAGTGAAGTGACTGGGGCGCCTGGGGACTGGAGGCACTCAACAGCCGGGCTGACTCCAGTCAGGTATTCTATATACCCTGAGCAATGTCTCCATTAGCGCGCGGCTGCCGCTGCCGCTCCCTCCTCCAAAGCGAACCGCGGCGGCTGAGGCGGAAAGAGGCGGCCCCCCTTTGCCATGGACAAGCCCTCGCCCGCCGAGCCTAGGCGCAGCCCGGCGTGATCGCAAGTCCAAGGAAGGCGCAACCCCGACTTCTCCGGCTCTGCCTTTTCGGCCCCTCCGCCTCCCCACGCACCCCCCCCCCCACGCCACGTCCTTTAAGCCTGTCTTTCGGCAGCGAAAGCCGTCTGGAATAAGAAGGAACCGCGAGCTGGAGGTGAGAGCAACGGCCGGTGATCAATCATCCAGTGTTGGCACCGCTGTTTACTGGGGGGGGGTGATGAAGGGACGCGCGGGGCGGGAGCTGGTGGGGTGGGGAGCGAAAGAAGCCGACTGGTTCGGAGAGTATAACTTTCGTGGGTATCAGGGGAAGGGGGGGGCTGCAAGAGACAGCTAACTGCGTTTGCTGATTTTTGTTATGAAAGTTTGACGGACTCAGAGAAGTCCTGGTTTCTGTTCAGCCTCTGGGATTGGGGAAAGTGTTGGTTGGCTCGTGCGCCGTGGGGGAGACTCTTCCCAGTGCAATCCTTTCCTTGCCCACCGAGGAGTGAGTGGATTCAATACAGGTTACTCCCCGTTGCGGGAACGTAGGGGTTGGGACTCGGGAGCCCATTTTGTGTTGTATTTTTCTAAAGGCGAGATACGCCTGGTTGAAATTGAATCCACGAATTCTTACTGGAGGGAAGTGGTCCTCTTTTGCTCGGCGGTGATGGTGCGACACTCTGCACATGCTCGGGAGACCCTTCGATTATGATTTCGCAACTCTGGGTTAAGTCTGCCTGGATAGCGGGACTGAGAAGGAGATCCCAGCTGGCTTTCGTCGGAAAGAAGCTCACTGGGCTGAATTGGGATGAAGTTATTCAGGGACTGCCCCGCCGAAGAGGAGAGCAGTATAGCTGATGGTTTTGCCGCAATGTAAAGCCGCAAAAGAAAGGTAATGGGGGTCCCGGTTGTTACCCAGAATGGTAACTGAACCCCACCTGGTTTTGAGCTAACTGGAATTTTGTTTTGCTTGCAGCTGCTCTATGACATTGCTGCCCATTACGCCGCCCTTATATAAGACATGCAAAAGGCGAACGCCTCAAAACTTCCGCGTGGAGCTGAAGCCTGGGCGGAAGGGAGGGGGGCGAGGAGGTCCAAGAGTCCTGGCCGGGCAGTTCTTTAAAAGCAATCGGTGCAATTGGGACGGTTTCGTCCGAGACACCACCGGCTACTTCACCTTCAGCACCATCCTAAGCGAAGGATACCTCTTCGGGGCATTTAGTCGGGCAAGCTTCAGAAGCCCCGTCAAACCCTGAAAGAAACAGAGGGGAAGGAAGACAGCTTCTCCAAGGTCTTATCTTAGTAGTCTTACTCTGCAGGACACCCGCTGGTTTCGTTTGGAGTTATCTATCACATAAATAAATTCAGGATCACAACTCTCCTCCCCCCCCCACCTGCAACACACACACACGTCATCTGGAAGCCCGAGATGAGAAATGGATAGGAATACCCCATTTCGTAATTTAATGCCCGTGCGTGGACGAATTGTGGAGTGCAATCCGGATTGAAGCCTTTACACAGAGAACTCGAGGTAGTAATTTCTGGGCAGTTAAGACGAATGACGGCTGGAATACTCTGATGCACCTGGCCTGATAAGACAGGCGTTTCTCTTAGTATTCTGCATCTGCCAGCCAGATCGCCCCCCCCCGCCCCTCTGACATCTTGCAGACCACCTGTCTAAACCGCTGGGCCTGTTCCCATACTGCCTCCATATTTCAACTATTCGGGGGGGGGGCGGCAGAAAAGACACTTAGAGACATCTGATTTTATTTCTTTAAAGGAAAAAGGAGTAAATAGAAACATGCGCGCGCAGCGAGATCCTGCAGACGTACCCGCGTTTCCCTGCCTCTTCCTAAAGGTAGAGTTGGTTGGATATTGAATCGTTTTCGCCTTTCTTTAATATGACTCATTCCTTCTGGAATTTGATTTTGTTGTTGTTGTCGCACTGCAGATAGGCGAACTCTTGTGCTGGGCGGGGGGGGCGTTTATTGGTCTCTCTAGATTAGAACTCTTGTCTTGCATTTGTTGCGATTTGGTATTTAGCGAATGCTATCTGCGAAAGCGCGACACCACTCTTTCCCCAGGATAGCCGAGTAGGTAAGATATTTTTTCGGAGCTGTGTCTTACGGGACGCTATCGCTTGTCACTGTTCCTGCCTCCTCTAAAGGTTGGGGTGAAGGCGATATAAACTACGACTCAGGGTAAGAAGCCTAAAAGTTGTGAAGGTTATTTTTTTTTAATGGAAGCCGGCTGGAGAAAGTAAGGGAATGCTTAAAACGCATCAGACTACAGTGCCCATCATCCCCAGAGGCAGTGTTAGGTATAATGATGAGAAAAGAAGTCCTCACATCTGAAAGACTAGACTGGAGAAAGTGACAAATTTGGGGGAAAACGCTTTTCAAGGATTGGCATTCTTTACCCCACAGTTGGACTCGTTTCTGAATTCTTAGCTCAGACCACCGTTCTTTAACTTTTTCTGGATAAGATGAGGCTAATTTCCCAGCAGTAGACACCGAAATATGTCCCGTCCCTGCCCTCTAAAACTTCAAAAATCGGGATTGACATCCAAGTCAATCTTGGTTCAGAAGAAGGTGCTGCGCTGTACGCAGAAGCGGGATCGATTTTTAAATCAACCCCAGCGCCAATCTGGCAGCCAGCGTTCAAGCAACCAACAGGGACAGAAGAAAGTCGTCTTCGGCCAAGTCTTCGGAGTGAACGCTCTCCTTCCGAAATCGGCGGCAAAGATTCCCCTCCCAGGCTCTGGAGCAGCGCCTAAAAATAAGGAACTCTTTCAGGGTTGGGGGGGAAGGGAGAGAGGGCCAAACTGGGATACGCGGCTATGTCCCAGGACAGGAAGGCGGTGGGACGGGACGAGTACCTAAATCGCGAGTTGAAAATCCTCGTGAAGCTCTCCCCACCTCCAAGGTCTCTTGCCCGGCCTTCTTCCCTCCTTCCCCTAAGTGCGGCGTCAAAGGCTGGGCTACTTTGGCGACCAGAGAAACTGCACCCCCACCGATCCATTCACCCACCCACCCAGGTGGCCCCTGGTGAACGGAGCGCCTGCGTGTTGTAATCCACAAACCCACCTAAGATTGGGCTTGGTTTAAGGATCCTTCCGCGTTCCGGGGGGGGTTTCCTCCTCTTCGCAACTGGCCTGAGCTTCGTGGATTCGAAGCAAGCTCCACTTCAACCGACCTCTCCCAAGACTTCTTCGGAGTTAAACTGGTTGGAAGGATTGCTTCAGGCGCTTCGGGAGGCCTCCCCTGCTGTTTTCCAGGGTAGCTAAATTGGCGGTCCCGCTGACTCCAGTTTCCTTCAGTCGTTCTCATAGAAAGGAACCTGGACGATTGCGTTTCGCTTTAAGAAAAGTTACCATCCGTTTCGGACGCTCAGAGGTGTTCGGTTGCTTTTGGGAAGTGGGGACTTTTGAGGACCTGGAAAAAGGGAATAAAAAGAACCCCTTCTATTGTCATCTAGATTCCCTTACTTACTGAGAAGGAAGTCTCTAGCGATCCTTAACGCAACCAAATAATATACTGCTCGCTGGCTAGGTAGGATGATCTGATGCAACCGACCGGGGTTGAACTGCTGCGCGGCAAGAGCCCGTCAAACTGCCAATGCCGGCTATGCCTAAAAAAGTGAAAGTTTCCCTGGAGGAAACGAGACTTGCCTCCTCTCCCAGAGGAATGCCTTTCTGTGCCAATGCCAGTGCCAACCGGCTCTCTATGGATCAGCCCGTGCTTTGGGTTCCCGCCCCTCCCGCGCCCTCCCCCTCTTCCCTCGAGTTTCTTGTCCGACACAATCTGGAAAGTTGCCCTTGCGCCTTGCAAAGGACGCAGGCTCCGCAAGACTGCCTTCTTTTTCGGACTGCAGTGTTTGGAAAGGCCTCCACTTTTGCTACCGCGTAAGATATGAAAATGAAGTACATCAAGCCCGGCTCATTTGGGGAGGGGAAAGTAAGACCTTCCAGGGATCGAAACCTTATTCTTAAGGTTCTAAATTCCCCTCACCCCCGTTACGCATTCTGGGGAAATCTGTTCAGCTACTCATTAGATGTATTTATTCTCTCGTAAAAGCAGCTGGGGAAGAAACGGGGAGGGGTAAAAATAGAAGAAATGGAACCAAGACAGCTTCGTTTTCCTCCGTTCGAAACTCACCTTCTGTCGCTCTTTGCTTCCCCTTCCCCTCGAATGAAGTTGGACTTTGGAATAGCGCGGACAACATGGTGGCTACTTGGAAGTCAGCCTTTTCAGTGACTTCCTAAATTACGGAAATCTAATGAAATGTACTGGTTTATGGACGAAATTAAAAGTGCCGGTTCTTCTCCAGGTAAAGGTCACTGCTGACACCGGGATCCTGCAAGGATATCTTTTCCAGAGGCGAGCTTGGGATCGGGGCCGTCTTATTTTTGAAGGGGCCGTTATTGCGAAAACTCAACCTTCCTAGAGCCAAGCTTTTGCCTCGGTAAATTACAGCAATTACGCAGCAGATAGGATTATATGAGGTGTACTGCAGTCTCCAGATAGTCATCCATCACCCTCAATCGAGCTGTCAGAGCGGGCAGATTCGTCCCTGGGAGGCACCAAGTCTTCCAGCTGGGGAGAAGAAGGGAACATCGTCATTAATTAGAGTGTGACCCTGGGGCTATTCACATGTCTGAACCCAGGCAAGCTCTCTGAGCAAGTCTGCACTTCTGCCCTCCCTTCCCTCCACCCCAGCTGCCCTTCCCACTACAAATACACCAGGAGGCTTGCAAAACTCCCGAGGAGCTGGTTAGTTGCCCATTGCAAGATTTCCAAGCCCAGGGACTCCTCTTTTGAAAGAATTATTTCTTTCTCCTGCCCTTCCTCTCCCAAAGCACACACGCCATAACCTGGAGGAGAAGTGGGGTGCCCGGATCTTAGCAAGGAGGCCTAAGCAAGAGAGTGAAAAGTGGAGGGGTAAAGGAGAAGGAGTGTGCTTTGAAGACCTTCCATCCTTGCAAGAATTTCTCATTCTAACCTCCTAAACTAGAACTGGCCTCTACCAATTGGCAGAATGGAGCAGTCGACCTTGAGCTTCAAGAAAGGGCAGCGACATAAAATTTACAGTTCATTTCTGTCAAAAAGAAGGGACCATATTTGTGGGATAACTGCATCTTTTTTTTTTTTGTAGGAATCACCTAGGTTTGGAATGAGGAAGGTACAGTAAGTGTTTGGCACCAAAGTGTCTTAAACTGGGCCTCGCCTAAGTAGGTTCAGACAAATTATCTTGGATTTAGGATCCCTGTGCCACTGTTAAATGACTTTAGGCTCAGTAAAAATGGCATTTAACCTTGCTAAGGGCCCTTAGTAGGCTTCCTGAACAGACTATTTTATATTAACAGCCCTTAAATTACATTCACCCAAGTGTAAGGAAGTGGTGATGATTTAAGGGCATCTTTGTATATCTGCTCACGTGGAAATAAATGGTCATTTAAATAAAGGATTACTTTAGGATTAATAATAAACAGGATGGGAATAAATGTTGGGGAAGGGGAGGGCAAGCAATGCCTTGCATCTGTGTACATCTATACTGCTACTCACTTCCAGCAATTACTGAGATGCCATCCCCCCCCCCACTTTTATCTTGAACACTCTTCCAAAACTTCATGGGTTGACCCAATATGAGTCTCAAACTATCTTTTTTTATCTGGGATGTAAGTCCAGCCAAGCATGAGTTTCTAAGCATGCATGCTCAGTAATATAAACATAATCCCCAAATGTTCATTGTGTAGGATTTCAGTCTAAGAATCCCCAAATGCTTAAAAAATCTAGGGATGCTTTTGAAGTCCTGCCTCCTGGGTTCTCCTATTGAAGTATTCAGCAATACAGAAATTCCAACTCTATTAAAATTAATTAGGCATTTGGCTGTTGACATCAGTGAAGTCTTTCTGTAGCAGTGGTGTTAGTGATTTAACCTAACAGGGAAATCCAGAGGGCTTGAGCAATTATTCTCATTAAATGTGAAAATACTGTACAACAATTAAACACTTAAATGTATTCAATATTCAGGTTAAAAAGGCCTAGCAAGAGACTTGAGAACAATTGTCAGTGTTGAATTTTGGTAAATATTTAGCATCCAAACCAACTAAATTTGGACACAAATTACATACATTAGGCATTTTTTTTTTTTTTGAGCTTATAGTAGGGTGGTTTTTCTCTTTTAGTATTCTTTGTGTGGCTGTAACATCTGATCTAATGCTTTCACCTTTTCCTGCTTCTCACTCCCCAGTTCCACTTTGGCTATGTTACAGTCTTAGCCAGATCAGACAGAAGCATAGCAGGTGCCTAGGCATGTGCAGCATAAATTTGATAAAATTGGGTTCCGTTCCCACCATTATCATGGATTAAGCATCTGGTTGGTTCTAATATGAGCATTGCCAAATTGTTGATTTGGGGGGCTCCCTACCATCCTATGGCTCTGTGTTTGAAGAGTTTTCCATTCTTACTAATATAAAATTTTAAAAGCTTAAATCATCAGGCTTTGTTTGTAAGGGAAAATAATGCTACTTTTGCTTATTAGCCTATTCTGTTTTTGTTTTGTTTTGTTTTGTTTTGTTTTTTTGAATGGTCAGTTAGAATTCTAGAGCTGTGGTGAATGTCATCTAGATTTAGATGGGACAGAACTGAACTTGGCAAAACAGAATCAAAGTTTGCTAGTCATAGATGGTGAACCTTCACTCTGTCAGACAGAGAAAAACATCCTTATTTTTTTAATTGCTTCTCAGCATCATGTCAAGCATGTGGAAGATTATAGAAAGAGATGAAGAACCCTAAAACAAGAGTAATAAAGTGATTTCCATTCACCCACCAGATCCCAGCTGATAATTTATGCTTGTGATAAATAAATCAAAGGTTTTGAAAAGCAATATAAAGAGCAGGCACAATGGCCTAGAAAACCAGTTCTAAAAGACCCACCTGCAGGTCTTGGATATGGTGTCTTGCAATAAGAAATGAAAACTTATCAGTGGCAATAAGTATTTCATCAGAGCCTCACTTACACCTAGACCAGCACTGTGTACAGATACTGGTCAGAACAAGTCAGAGCGAGTCGCGCTGAGAGATCAATGTATCAATTCCCAAGTCTCTTTCTCCATCTTGCATCTACTAACACGCATCGCCTTTTGCCTACGAGGTCGGGATGATAACATTGTCCTACCTTGCGGGGGTCAATGTTTGTATACCAAATATCTTTGACTATTGGGCAAAAATGCCACCAGTACTTCGAGGTATTTGCTAAAAGCTGTGGATCAGTATATCAGACTTGATCAACGGTAGTAGTTCTGTCCTTCCATGACAGGACATAGAAATCCTCACCACCTGATGTCTTTCAGATAACCCCCCTCCACCCAGCCACCCACCCTAAAAGTGCCTTTTTAAACAATTCTCACTCTTCTAAAACAGCGAGGAGAGAGAAAAGCCTCCTCTGAATGGGAGCGGCGAGAGCTGTGGCTAATGGGCTCATAGGATCTGAGGCGAGGGCGCGCCGGGGAGAGCAGGGGGTCTCCCCTCGGTGCGCTTGGCTGTCAGCGTCGGAGCTGCTTTCAACTGTTGATTTAAAAGCGTTGCTGGCGCGCGTCCCTTGTCGGCCTCGTTTGTAAGTGGGACTGATGACTACAGGGCGGGGAGGGAGAAGCGGCAGGCAGCTGCTCATTAATTAATTTCTAATTAAAAGTGCTTACCACCCTTCAGTGATCCCGCGCACGCGTGCCGGGAAACTGGGGTGGAGGTATGGGGTGGGGGCGAGAGTCCGAGCGTAACGTAGATTCCTCCTGCTCCGAAGTCGTATTTTTTTTCGGGGCGGCTCCGGGAGCTTCGCCCTCGTGTGGCTCTCTCGGGGTGCCACAGACTTCGGTCCCGTTGAATTTGGGCCTCGTTGCAGTGATCCACGGGCGAGACGGTCGCCCCTCCAAGAAAGCTAACTCTGAGCTGTTCTGCGCTGCCTTGGGCGCCGCTTCAATCGCAGTTACCCCAAAGGGAACCCACAACCCAAACAAAACAGACGACCCAGAGGGCAGGTCCTGTGGGGTCTTTCCTGGCGTCAGATGTTACTGGACTTGACCTGCGAATGGAGAGCCGGGTCGTTTTCCGCCACCGCCGCTCCCCGCCTTCTGCTGCCTGTGGATGGGCAAAATATGTAGTGCAGGTAAGTGAGGCAGGCATGGCGTTTATATCAGGCGCCACTTGCTCGGCTCCTTAGGCAACACTTCCTTAAAACTGCTATTTGGATTTGTGTGCGGGCGGGAGGGGAGGGGAAAATACATCCATGCCACTTAAAAAAAAATTGCAAAATCAGTAGAAAATTTTCAATGTATTTTTTTGTACTTGGTACTCTAAGGCCCCTGGAAGCCCGAGTTATTCACTCATCTGGACCAGAAGCTACAGTAAGGCTGCCTGCCACGCTCACAAACTCAACACTTCTTCTGCTGCTGCTTCCTGAACCTTGAGAGCACTCCAGTTGCCATGTCCTACCCCCAGTTTGGATACCCTTATTCATCTGCACCTCAGGTAAGACCATACCAAATATTGCACCGGAATTCACCTCCCTCTCCAAAATTTCCCACTAAAGATAAGTGTGGAAAAGTTGGTTTTTCTTTCTAGAAGGCAATACTGAAACCGCAGTTTAACAGCCCAATCCTATTTGTCTACTCACAATTAAGTCCCACTCAATCTTCAGTGAAGTCGAATCCTAATTAAGCCAATAGGTAAGCTGTTTGAGTCTCACAGTACTCAGCACCAACAGGAAAACAAATCAGTTGGGCTTCCGGCTGAATTCCATTCAGTTCTTCTTCCAGATGGGCAGAAAGGAAGGCTTGGTCAATCCATATGACTGAGCACCTGGGAAAGAAAGGGTTGGATGGATTAAGCAGATCCACAAAAACCCACCAGGCAAGCAATTCCGCTTAAGATCCACCAAAATCAGTCTCCAATAGAATGGCTTTCTGGATCTTTAAATTAAGCAATCTATTGCTCAAGGCAGGCAGGTGGATTGAATATTCCCTGAATCCTGGAATGGCTGTTATAACAATTATTAAATATTGTTCACTGAACACCTGGGAGCATATTTCCCAGAAGAACTCTGGAGCTTTTATTTAAGGGGAAAATGTTATGAGGAAAGCCCAAGAGTAATATTCTGCCAGTGCCAGTACAAACAGTTTTCTCCTTGGAAAGAATGAATTAATCCTGTAAAGTATTTTCTCTTTTCGACTAGCTTTCCCACTTCA